AACAATGCCAGAACACACCAGATGTGCACTGTGCTGCAGAGGGTATCCTCCGTGGAAGGCACACAAGTCCCAAATGACAGAGGTAGTATGGAAGTAAGAAGTGCACTCAACTGATTCTGAAGCATTCAGCTGTCATCACCAATTTATTACCACCACAGCTGAATATAGATGCCTTATCAAAACAATCCTTCTCAAGGTCAGAAAAGCTCTGATAGTCTCATGTTCAGGCAGGCATCATCACTGCAGATTAAAATGAGTTTTGCTGATGTACAAGTCGAATGGGACAGACAACACTCTTGAGTCTTGGCTTGCAAAACCTCTAACAGAAACATACAGTCAGTCAAAGTCTAGAGGAGGATAAAAAAATAGAACATGCTGGAAAACAGAATTCATGCAGTTTTATAATAAATTAGTATGTTGTACTGTATTTCCGATAGAAATACAGTCAAGCGGTCTAATAGCAATATTTTAACTTTATCCAATGGCTGTTTTCTGAGTGAGTTCTCACAAGTACTACAAACACACAACAAAGAACATTTTGCTCTGGTTGCTGTGCTTCACATAACTGGCAGGATCCACCTGAGGATCTAACAGTACATGTTATAGAAAATCCTGGTACACCATAAAAATTGAATTCATGATTCAAAGAGAATTTATTGCTGAAGGAAGTGGGGTAGGATAAAGACATGAGCTCCAGAAAACACATCTGAAATACTCTCCGAGACACCTGATTCCTCTTTCAGGTAGTTTGCATTCTTCTGTAATAAAAAAGCTTTATTTGGCCTAGTTGGTATATTTACAGCTTTATTTTCACTATTATTTCTTAGTATTGATAAATATCATGGAAAAATTTTATCAGGACATTTTGTGAAAATATTTAATAATCAAGTTTAGTTCTGGTCATTATGGAAGTCTAAAAAGCACCTACATTTTATGATTTATTCTTCAGATCAACTGCATGAGATATTTTTAATCCATTTAACATACTATTGATATTACATACGCTATTTTTTTTTATCTGAACATCTCAGTAGCAGATCACGGATCTTAAAAAAGGTATAGTAAAACAAATTAAACCTTTATTATAATTAATTTATAATTAAATTATATAATTAATTTATAATTAAACTGGTACTACTCTCCAGAAAAAAAAAAACAGATTTACTCAACACAGTTTGCTTTCCATAAAGGCACTTTATGAAGTATAACTATACTTCCATGCTTTAATATTTTAATAATTGAATTTCGTATCAGTATTTTATTCAGAAATGAAGTCAGATTAATGAACATAAAATACTGCCTTTTCTGAGTATTGACTCAATATTATCATTCTCTTAGATTCTAGGCAGTGTTGTAATACATGTGCACTGACTTTGAATACTTATTCAAAATGAGGATCAGCAAGAGAAATATTTCTTAGCCAGCTCTATAAAGTGGTAGGTTATAAAAATTCTCAATCCGAAAATCCTACTTCTTTCTACAAAATGTTAAAAATCCTGGCTACTGATAGATCAAGAATGTTGCAGCATCTTCATGAGAAATCAACCTACTTTTTTCCAGACACAAACCAGAAATAATCAGTGACTTCTCTCTTTACACAGTTTTTTTTAATCTAATAATAGATAGCAACTGCCCTGTAATAGCTACCTTAGTAGTTGCACAATTTTAAATCCTGCCTGTTTACCACTGCTCTTGGCCTTGCTACCCAAAGATTTCCTCTTGACTTCTTCAGCATCTTATCCATCTTTTATACTCCATTGTTGCTTATGTTTTCAGGTTATCTATAATCTGTTTTCCACTATGTTTATGTTGCCTCTTATTTCTAAATATTTTACTCTCTTTCCTACCAAAATAAAATAGATATTCGTAAGGAGCTACCATCTAATTGTGCAACAGTGTTTTTTTGATTACTTAATAAACTGTTACAGTCCACAATTTCTATTCATATTTCCTACTATGTCTTCCTCATAACAGCTTTGGACAAATGAACTGCTCTGAATTATACTATTACATTATATTACTATATATATATATAATGTATATTATAATTATACTAATTTTACTATTTCAGGTGCCCTGTCAGTTTCCACTGAAAGTCATTCAGCACATAAGACCTGATTCCTATCCCACGCTCCAACAAAAATAAATCAAATAATCACAACACATTGGACATAGCAGTCTTTATTTATAAGCATTCCTTTCATCATTTTTGGAAACTATTACTAGATTCTACAATCTAATGATTTTAGCTCATTGTGTAAGTGTCCCAAATTCGGGTGACCATAGCAACACAACATTTTATTACATTCCATCGGTAATGGAATATTTGCTCAATCAGTAATTCATGATATCCTCTAATGTGATCCACTGATGCATATTGAATTTCTACCAGAAACTTCTTCTCTAGGTTTTGTAACTCATTATCTTGACCCAAATAGATCCAAGATCCTGTGGTTCTGTGTTGTCAATAACTTTAAAAGCAAGTAACACTGCATGCCATAAACAGTCACACTCTTCTCTGAAGTTGCCCTGTTGTCCCATTTATAGCTGGAACTAGCAGCAACTTAATTAGCAGCTCTGAAATAATTTAATTGTTGTACGTTAAAAAATAACTATATAGTGTCACAAGACACATGGAATGGGTACGAAAAGTAGCTGCATTCAATTTAAGAATGAGGAGAAAATTACACTTGCACTCTGAAAAATGTAAAAAGTAAAGCTTATGAAGTGATCAGAATAACAGACAAATATTAAAGGGTCATATAAGTTTGTCAACATGTTTAAGTGATATATATGGGTTAAACTTTATCTTTGTATAGAACTTTTTTTTTAAATTACTGGAACTGGAGTGAGAATCAAGGTAAAAAGGGGACCTGGCAGCTATCCAGAAGAGAAGAAATGAGGCAGACCAGACTTCAAAAGAAGAGCAACACTCTTCAAGTGGAAGGAGTACTGCTACTTATTACAGTAAGTATTATCACAATACCTTGTTATAATATCAGATACAAAAGAATATTTTAATAGGATTTACCTGATATATGCACAATTCCACTAAATTGCCAAAGATTTTACTTTTTTACAATGGTATATTGTTAATAAAATCTGATTTTAGCACCCAACTAAACAAAGCAGTTTACTTTTAGACACTCTGTTTTCAAAAAATAGTTTGCAGAGTATTCACTATTATTATTATTATTATTATTATTATTATTATTATTATTACTATTTCATATTAACATCTTTTCCACATCTAGTGCAACCTCGCAAGTGCTAATAAATATTCATGATAATTAAGAATGAAGCTGTCATCTTATTCAACAGTGAATGAAGCTATAATAATAATTGTTAATAGGTGATTCCACGCAATACATTTACTTTTGAAAACAGATATCTTTTACTTTCTCATTTTCTAATTTTTTAAAAACTTTTCATTACAGAGGTATGTAAAGTATTGATAGTATGATTTGTTTATCTCCTTATTTCTGTAACTGCTACTTTCACTTTACTCAGTGAAGACATTCCAAAACTCATAGCTGTCCGAACGGAGATTGAATTGCTTCTCTCTTTCATCAATGGCATAGGAGTAATTAATTAAAAATAATAGATATTACATTAGATTAATTCAGCCTTTTCCATATTGAGTCAAAAATAAGCATGCAGCTGTGGAAAGAACACCTATATCTTCCTCTTACATTAACCATTCAGTATTAGAAGAAAGCACATTTTCTCCCGTGAAAATTTACCATCTGTTCAAGAATAGACAGCATATTTATTCACAAATGGGTATAGTGATCAGTTTTCTACCTCTTTTTCAACAGTTACATCAAAAGGCAAAGAGAAAATATTAATCACTTTAACAATAAACTTTAAAAATAAAATGTCTAGTTTTTTAAATAACAGGCACTTTTTCATGAAAACAAATCTTATTTTCACCTTAGATATATTAGTTTATGAATTTCTTGTATTTAGTATTTTAAAGCATATTCAACATTGTTCAGTCTTTTTTCATAAAGGAAATTATTATGAACTTAGAAACTGAACTGAACATGCGATGATTTCAGACAAATGCTACAGGTCAGAATACTGCTACCTAGAGTGACTTCTCATCTGATGATGACAGAAAGATGTAATGCACATCTATTTAAGGCACTGAATTTCAATCCAGAGTTGAAAGTTATTTTTGAAGGGATAACTATATATGCTTTCTTTTTCCAGTGCATCAAAATTCCCTTAGTCTTTACTTTGAATGCTTCAGCCTTCCTCAAACATATCTGAAAGCAGCTCACTTCTACAGAAACCCAAGAGCAGTAGAGAAGCGGCTGTTTCATGGGCTAGTAAGCAAGAGCCTTCTTTGAAAGTGTACAGTAGTTATATGCTACATTAATAAAATCACAAAATCTTCTGAGCTGGAAAAGACCTGCAAGGATCATCAAAGTTCAACTCCTGGCTCTGCTCAGAACCATACCCAAGCGTCACACCATGAGTGTTGTCCAAACCTTTCCTGAACTCTATCAGGCCGGTGCTGTGACTACTGCCCTGGAAGGAATATAAGGAAACAATATTCTACATGCTACTCTTAAAAACGCTTTCAATTTTGCAACATAGAAGCTTGCTTATATAGTATTTCTAAATCAAGAAGCATGTGCCTATGGAGAACGAGGTAATTCACAGTACTAAATAGATTTGAATTATTATATTTAAATGCATTGAGAATTTATTTGCTGCAAAGGAATCTGATACACAGCTAACCACTTTCTTTTGGGACCAAGTATATGGCAGCCATATATAAAAAGATGACCAATAAAAGCTATGGAAGTCTTTGAAAGTCTGGGAGAGATGCAGTGATTCTTTCTCCTCATTCAGACCTGACACCAGAACACTACAGCAACTACAAACATTGTTCTGGAACAGGGAATGCATCAAAGCCTTGCTAAATCTTTTACATTTTGCTTTCAATCAAAAATACCTTTATTCAGATGAGCGCTCAAAAGAAAATCAACATTCAAGCCTTCACAAATGTCTTGAACTCTGTCACTAGTGAGCAGCAGCTCCTTCTTTAGAGTTTCCGAAACCCGTGTACTCAGTTTAGCCATGTAGTTGTTGAGATGCAGCAGTCTCAAGTTCAGCCATAGAACATTCAGTCTCAATAATTTTGCTCCCTAGTTTAATAAGCTCGAGGTCCTGAAACACATCCACAGAGACACAGCAGTGCTATGATAAAAGCTGATGGGAAGGTATGGTGGATTACAAACCACATGAATGAACAAACCAACCTCCCACACCACAGCTGACATCACAGAATATTTCACTTCCAACATACAGTATGTAATTTCATGGCAAAAATTAATGATAAATTTTCAGTCATTATGTTCATGTTTCAGTATCTAAATTTCAGAAGTGTGACTGAATTACATCAGAGAAACAGATTACAATTCTGCTATGAAAGCTTAAACTGATGACCTTGCAACTTTTCATTTGAAAGTAAGGTATGAAAAAGTTCCACAGTGGAGCCATCAAAACTCTAATTATACCTATTTCTCCAAATCGTCTTTGGCATCTTCTCATACTGAGACTTCTCTTTCATAGCTACATTAAATCTTTGTTTCATTGAGTCAATGGAAGCTTTTCGTCTTCAGCCAGTGCCTTCACCTGAAATAATGAAAGGCATTGACTATCAAGATAGAAAATTTCAAAATTAGAACGAAATCAGAACAAAGCATACCTTTATTACATAAAAATATATAACTACAGAAATAATTTTACTGAAGTATCGTTTTCTGAAATTGCAGACTTTAATAAAGCTCTGCTGTTGAGCCAGTAGAGATCAGTTTGCAAACAATCTTGTTACATAAAGTTTTGACTTGCATTACATATAAAGAAAAGCTCTTCATTTGCAGAGCTGTTTGTTCATATATGCCTTAAACTTAGAGTAATTGCAAAAGGGAGTAAATGGCAACTTCCACTATTTCTTTTTGTCAGAGATAAAAACATAAATTAAAACTCAGCTGAAAAAATAACTGTCCATTTGTTAATAGTCTGTAAAACTTCTAAGATAATGATTATCTAATGAAAACACTGATTGAGGGTAAAATTAAAAAAAACAATGCTCCTAAATATTGTTCTGCTTTCCTATAGTGCTAATCACTAAGTTTTCCTGACAATATCGAGTAACAGGGAATTTCTTTGATCTTTTGCTGAAGATAATGTAAAATTTATCAAGCTGATTTTCACATATAATTATCAAAATAATGTATGGAATATGATTCTCTGGAAATGAAGTGCTTGAAATTCTCCAAGTACAGCACTAAAGCACAACATTCCATTCCAAAAACAAAACCAAAACCAGGTATTTTTCTCATGTCATACCTTAGCTCCCTTGTTTACTTATGCTTTCACTTTCTGGCTGTGGATTTCTTAATAACACCTTATCTTTAGCATGGAGGGTTATACAGTAGCTCTTTTCAGAGCTGCAAATTCTGTATGACTGCAAGCAGGAATAATGCTTGTGACATTCAGCAAGCATTTGCATTCTAGGCAAACAAAAGCAAACTGGCAGATTGTTTATTTCTATTTTGGGGTTATAAGCTGCATAACCTAACAGACAACCAAACATCATGATCTTTTTCTGGAATTGAAGGCCAAAGTGCAATGTGTCAGGTAGTATTTTTGGAAATATGCTAAACTATATACAAGTTCTCTTACCTCCTGCAAAATCATACTAAAATTTTGCAGGAGAAAATAATTGCTATAAAAGTCAACCACTACCTACACAGTTAGAATTACTTCAAGCTAAGAACAGTGAATCATTCATAACACTGCAGTAGAAAAAAGATTAACATATTAAAGTGTTTAACTACTATAGCCAGGAGAGATGCATGGACTTCATTAGCATATGTCATGTAAAATCACTCTTGTTTCAGGTCTACTGTATTTTATGAACTTACATTGCATAAAACTAAATCCCACTACTTAGAGCATATCCTCACAACTGTGTGTTCTGAATACCTTAATACTTAATTACACCTATAACAAAGATAAATTAAACTATGTTGAATCCATTCAAGCTATCACCATATACTGATTTCATACAAATTATAGTGGAGGGAATTACACCCTTCAATTAACTGTATGTTCTTTGCTTTAAGCAATATATTGATTTAATATGTATAGTGTGTTGAAATAACTTCTGTAAACCCACCAGCTTCTGTTTTTTTCAAAAACTAGGAACAGCAAGAAAGAAGTACCTTTCTCTCAAGTCTTTCCTATGTTTCATTTGAGGTTTTCTCATTTTCTTGATTTTCTTTTAGATGAGACCTTAAGTCTTCTATCAAATTATCTTTTCATAGTAAAATCCCTCTCCAACTGAGAAATTCTGCAGGGGAAGCTGGACTGCATGTCACTGCTAGAAAATTTGGTTAATATGCAACTAAAAGGTATAAAGGCAGTAGACAATCTATCATGCCTATAGCTCTGCAACATTTTCAAAAATGAAAACTCATGCGGTTCTTGCAATTTACCTGGTTGCCAAGTACTAAACCCAGTTTCAGTCTCTTATTATAGAGACCTTTTTCTGAATATGCAATATATTTTTTATTTGATTTTTGCTTATCTGGACTGAAATCACAATAATTCTTAAACTATTATCAAGAAAGGGGAAAAGAAACCTGCTAAACCAAAAAATTCAATTAATTAAATTCCTTTGATGTCTCAAACAATCATTCAAATAGTATTTTTAGCAAAACTATTTTCAAAAGAAAGCAAAATGGGGAAGCCTCCTTTCATCCAACTGAGTAATTCACAGAAACAGTTGAAAAAACTCTATCCTTGTGTGTCAGATGAGACAAAATGCAAAACCTAGAAATAGCATCAGCTTTTGTCAGAAATTTCTCATGAAACCCCCAAAAATCTCATGCACTAAAAAGTAATCTTTTTTCAGTGAGAAAATAATGCCTTATAAAATGCTTCAACTATTATAACACTAACTTATATTTTAAATATAAACACAAGCAATACCTAAATATATCCAGATATCTAGATTTTTTCCAATGAAATCAAAATGAACGGTAGTATGTTCAGGAATACAACACTGTTAATACAATGTCAATATTGTATTTAAAAAAATCCCCAGGAATACAGCACATCTAAAAATTTCTTTATACTCTGTTATTTTAGTTATTATATCTTACAGCTTATGAAAATTATAAAATCTATTTTATAAAGAAAGTATGCTATCCAATAACTATTTTAAATTTAAAATCTTATGGTGGAAAAATTCACTTTGAAACAGAAAATAAACAATCTACAATTTAACCATTTTTAGGGCTCTCTGTTTTTCAAATGAAGTATTTTCAGATAAGTAAAGTGCATTCTTTCTTCAGTTAAAAAAATCAGAAGGGTTAGAGGAGCTAAACTCTTGGGCAGACAAGAAATTCAGATATACTAATAGCTTTGTTATAGTTGATAGAGTAATATAATTGAAGAACAGTATTATCTCAGTTACAGCAGGTAGAATAAAAAGTATCAGTTGCATACATGACAATTTTTGAATTACAAAATGAATAGTAGACCTGAATCAATTCAAAAAGAAACAAATACAACTGTCCTTTTGAACTTTTTTATGAATATAAGACTAGCTATTTAATCTTATTTAAGCATCTGAACCTTGACATGTCTCTTAGCCCCTAGGCAAGGAATTACTGAATTTGAAAGACTGTGTTTAACAGTGCTGAGGAATTCATTTCGACTTACATCAAGGATAAAGTAGTCTACTCTAGAGTCTGAGTTCTGACTTTTGCTATTCTTACTTCCAGACAGATACTTCAGCCAGCTTATCACTCGCCAATTTAAAAAAAAAAAACAAAACGCAATTTAAGCACAAACTACTCTAATTAAAAAAAAAAAAATCAAAAAACCCTGTAACACTATGCAAGACTGCAATAAAGAGAGCACATCGTTCTCTTAAGAATCTAGGAGCAGAAGACGGTGTAGGAATTTCACAGCTGCCACTGGGTGGCACCAGACACAATGGATAGAGGAGGGACCACACTTGGCCTGCAGCTCGCGAATCCTTTCTTCCTTCTCCAGGACTTGTTTTCTTGGTGACTTAATGGTGGTCGATTGCTTAGTGATCTCAGTGTTCGAATTCCATACTGAAAAATATTAAAATATAAATAAAGTAGACTGAATGTGATCACAGTCAACAGTAAATTTTGAAAAAAACCCAACAAACTCAGTAAATTCCCATGTAATTTATGAAGGTTCTTAGAAATTAACTGGTATGAAATGAGCATTCTTACTTTCTAGGAACACTTAAGAAGAAGTACATTCCCTGGAAAATATGATGAAATAATTTTTTCTCCATTATTCTAATAATGTATAGTTAATAGATGTTCCCTGGGACATGCAAGAACCAACCAGACCTGTATTTTCTTTTGCACAGCATAAGAATAGCACATAAAAGAATAACAGAAGATAACACATAACAGAAGAGAAGTAAAACTGGATCTGCATTTGAGCTACATCTTTGAATAGTATAGTTCTACAGCACCAGGAGTCTACATCTATACAGCAAGATTGTCCAATAATTCCTATTATTTTGAGTATTAGGAAATACAAGACAATTTACAAGAGTGGCTTTTTTTTATGTCTCCTGAAATTCAAAGCACAAGACAAAGACATTTTCATTTGTCTGTATTAACACAAATTACACATATCATCTACCCAAGATCTAAATTCAGAACCTCTGAATCAGTCTACAGAAAAAAGAAAAAATAATAATTTAACTAAGTAGCCATCTTAGCAATCTGAGCATATGCATTGAATGCCATTGCTGAAATGGCAGCTCAAATACTCCGCATAGAGCTATTGCAGAACTCCAAAAGTTGTTGCCAAAAGATACATGTTAAGCATAAGCACAAAATATATATGTGCCTATAGGTATACAGATTTAGCCACTGTACTACAGCTTTTTACTGACTATGTAAAAACAATAAGAAAACACATCAGGCATGCTGTAAACAATGATACTTCAGGAGAATTTCTCTGCTCAGTGCAGACTTGTAATGCCTATTAACATAAATGGGAGTACTGTACATAACTCTGTGCACCTCAAGGGGAGTATATATCCTTGTGTGCATAGTTAGATATAAAATATTGTTCTTAATAACTTGTCTAGTCTATTTACTATTATTATAATGTGGGGTATAACCAGAAAATTGTTAAAATGATGTATGCTAGCAGAATATTCCTGAGTTTCCTGAGACCTGTTTGTGGAGCTTGAGTTCCATTAGCGTAAAGCACAGCACCCGGTTTCGTGGCTTACACACCAGACATGAACTTGAGCACTTAGGTGGGCCTCTGCACATGTTCAGAGGCAAAGACATATGCTTATGGTAGTTTGCTTCCAAACTCACCACCCACACTTAACACGTTTCTTCCCATTGGCAAAGATACAAGGAGTCATTACATACAACGTAAACAAGCACTGCAAAGACAGTGCTAAGAAAGAAAAATTAACTAACAAGGCCAGGTACTTTGACATTTTGAGCTATAAGGAAAGGTTTTGCTGCTTAGAGATTCAGATATTCAGGAGAATAACTATGTGTCTTGTTTTTAAGTCAGCTAGAGAGCCCGGAACAATAATTGAAAACCCTTTTATTAATTTAGCAAATTCTGCTAAAAAATGACTTGCAGGACTTAAACTAGCCTTGAATAAAGTTAAAAATTTTAGAAACTTGATTTAAGTAGTTTTTGAGGTCCTTATATTCAAAACTGTCATCCAATTCAGAAACCAGTGAATCTACTCTACTGCTTAGCATTTGAGGTCACAGACTATCTCCATCCTAAATATAGTTTTGCATACATGATTTATTTTTTTCATTAAAAATTTAATATATCTTTAAGAAGGAATTAAAAGTCATGCTAGTATTTTTTATACCAGATTTATATATGCTTGCTAAATATTTCCTCTGCTGCAGAAACAAAAAAACTCCTTTGATTTTTCAGCAATTTGTTTTGCTGTTCGATTTTGGCAGACAAATAGAGTAGGCTCCTAGCACGGGTGTTACTCTTCAGCTATTTAAAAAAATGAATCCACTTTTTTTATTTTTCCTACTTGCATAGATCTGTTGACTGCTAGGTTTCTGGATAATGAAGATACTCATCTAAATGGTACACCCCTAATTAACAGAAATTACCACTCACCAGCAACAGAAGCAGATTAGTCAATCCCAAACCTAAAAACAATACTTAAGAAGACAGTGCGTATGGTTTTAAGAACTCTTTCTCATAATTAAAGTAGATCAATTTATGTGCCTTTTCATGGCTGCTCCCTGCTGGCCTCATCTCTTTATCAATGTGACCTACCTTTACTAATCCCTGAATTCAGATGTTATGCATCCAGTGTGCAATAGCCATGATCTGTAATACCACGATTACCATCAACAGCTAAAAGGTCTGAGCATTACCCGCATCTCATGTGCTAGCACAGCTAATCCAGCATTTAGAGTGAGCTATGCTGACCATGTAACACAGCCTTTTCTTCTAGCTGATCCTTTGGCAGACTTCTTGCTTCTGAAGGGTTTCTTCTAGCAGCACGAAGCTGTACCACTTTGACCTTTTCTCTTTCCTCTACTATTTAACAGAAAACAATGGGAAAAAACAACTTGAAGACATACTGTTGCAAATATATTTCCTCCAGTGAGAGGAGAAGAAGAATTAATATGTTTGAGCCAGGCCACCTGCTGAGAAAGCTTTCAGAACAACACAGTCCAGCCTCTGCACATTCACATGCAACAAAATCACCCGAGACTGAAAAGTGAAATCATCTACCAGTCAGTATTTTCCTACCAACTAATGCACAAACACACAAATGAAAAAAAACAAAAGTCTCTCTGAAGACAAAGACAATCCAGTAGCTCAAATTCTTTGCTCCCCTTTCACAGACAGCTACTGCTTTTCTCCTTCTTAAAGGAAGAAAGGAACCAACTGAATTCTCATCAAACTAATTCCACAGCACATTCCAACAAGATGTACTTTATCATTGTGCAAAAAACCAGCAAGACTCCTTGTCTGGCCTATTTTCTCTGCAGAAATTGTTTTAGAACTTTTAGTTCTGTCTATGACTACATTTCTATTTACCATCAAAGGCAATTCAACATTTAAGCTACTTATCATTGGCTACGATATACAAGTGATAAGTGCATGGGAGTTTATGTATGTCTGCTTGACCCAGTTATGAACTACTGCTCATACCAATTATCCTCAGCACTAGATAATCCATTCTGTCACCTTTAGTTTGCACTGCAGCTGTTTCATCTCTAAATCAGTGTTCTTTGAAGGAGCTGGTGTAGCTTCACTCTTGCCAGCAGTTTGAGACAGATGTTCCCTCAACTTTAATTTTCCTTGTAAATCTTCCTCCTCCTGTTGCCACTTGGCCAGGTTGAGGTCAACACCTGTTTTACAAAGAGAATAAACGATCAAAAATTCATCCTAAAAATATTTCTGCTTGATCATATGAGGTGTTTCTCCAGTTCAGCATTCAAGAGGAATGAAGCTATATATATTACCTGTAATTACATTGCATAGCTGTTGGTTGAATTCTTTAGTACAGAAAAAGATCAAATCAGGCAGAAAAAAAAAAATCTACTACCACTGAAAACAAGCAATTATTTTAAGGCAAAATAATTCAGTTTTGACTGAATATGTTGCTGTTCTAACCATGAGAAACAAAAATTATCATACAAAACTGTAACAGCAGTTACTGTTGAAACATGCTTATCTAGAGCCTCCCTGGAATTCAGCAATTATTTCTACACAGAACATGAAGAAATACCATGGTGTCTCAGACAACAGTGTGAATTAAGGGTAGTTAAATGTCAAATCTGTTATAATGGTGACCACTGTAAGCTCACTTGAAATGCTGTGTTGACAACTGCTATAAAACATACACCCTTCTCTTGGCTTTTGTTTTGATATTTGTAGGGCTTGTAGAGGTTAAAGCCATGTGGACCAGCTGCACTAAACATCTCCTGGTTGGCTGGTCTTTACCTATGTGTTATTTCATTCCTTTCAATATATGCACCATAGCCAGAGAACCGCACATTCCATAACCTTGACTCTAGGGCTGAAGTACTTAAGTGGTAAAAGACAAGCTGGAGCAGGACAGGATAACAGATGTTAGTTGTTTATTCCACTGGGTAGGTCTTACCACCCTATACTGCAGCCAAAATGCTTCTCACTTAGCAACATAAATGCTAAGTCCAATTAGCAGAAAAGCCTTGTTAGGGATTTAGTTCAAATAAATATCATGCAAACAAACTCTCAGTCTTATTGCACTTGACTGACAACCAACAAGACTTATTCAATCTTTGTACCAATATATCTCACATTATTCCTTACAGAACTAATGTTTTAAATAATTGCTTTAATTTAAATTATTGAATGTTTTTATGCAAAAAGGGGAACGGAAATAATCTCCATGCTAGTGATTAACTTTAACAAAACTGTAGTCAGCCAAAAGCCAACAACGGCCTAACAGCTCTCTGATCCTTAAAAGGGTAATTAAAATGCTATCTTATTACTCCAAGTAAGACTGTAATACAGTACTTTAACATAAGAAAAAATGTTCAAAATTGTACTGAAATATTTAAAAAAAAACCCTCAGTTCTTTGTGTAGAATCCTGATCAGAAACAAGAGAACTCCATGGCATCTTGAAATAACTAAAGGTGCACCTGATTATGTGCTAGTGCTAAAGAAAATACCCAACCAAAAATCAAAAAAACACACAACTCTCCCCCTGCCAAAATAAAAAAAACAAACCTCAAAAAGCAAACAAAAAAACCCACAAAAAAGGTGAAAGTTAAGTATTCTATTTTCAAGCAGTTAATTATTTAACTTGCAAATTAGATTTGATACAGCTTCATGCCATTAGGAAAAAAAAAATATATATGTGTTTATAAAAACATATACTCCCATGACAATAATCTGAAGATCTGAAGATATATACAGATAAAAAGAGAGTCACATTTATTCCCATTACGAATGAGAAAAGAATGCTTGTATATTTTGCATTAGCCTAAAAAAATATCATGGGTACAAGGAAAATTCATCCGGTATTTAAAGTTAAAACTCTAACAGTATTTATTTCATATTCACGAAGTGCACTTATTAAAGTCAGTGGGCATTTTACATATGTATCTGAGGAAAGCACTGTTCTTAGTAAAGGAGTTAATCTTTCCATTCTCTTCTGTGTCTGCTATCATTATTAAACAAGAGGGAGATAGAGTATTTTCTAATTGACTATTCCTTAATCTGATATATTCTTCTCATAATTACTACATTTGCAGAGCAAAAGACAAAATGAGGACCTTTTCAATGAGAAAAACCAGTAGTAGTACAGAAGGACATAGTATAGAGAAATATGAGGATTATGTTAATCTGTCCAGTATAACCAATATTTCTACATGCAGAATTTCATGGTTCAGTGTCTCTATAATAAATTATTCATAAAAAGAAAAAAAAAAATCATAGCTAGATCAATATCTCTGTTCAAAATTAGAAATACCCCCGTATCTGCCCAAGATAGCTCATGACTCTCAGAAGTTTCTTAGGCTACTGCTGCTGACAATATGCATCAATTCTAAAACAACATGAATTGCACTGGCTACATTCTCAAAAATTATAGCAAATATATTCAAAGTTCTTCATGGGACAGGTACTAAAGATGACGGTTACAGGAACTACTTAAAGAGGTAGGAAGAAAGGTTTTAAAATAAGAATCTACCTAAATTCATAAACAGCGTAAGAGCTATAGGGATGAAGTGAAAATAGTATATGATGTACAAGAGCCCAAACTCACAAAAGCAGAAAGGCACTCAACTGCAATCAGATATTTCACTGAAGTTGTCTCTTAATACTTCTGTAGATATTGTAAATGTACTACAGGACTGATAATTCTACTGCATTACTCCTTTTATTTTTAATCTATTGAACAGTTATGATAAAATCCTATATAAATCCATGTGAGATGTAAAAAACAGTCCCACTGTCCTATCAAGATATTTATGCCTAAAAGATACTCCTTGCATTCACTTAAGAAAGAAGTTCATTACCCTGGTGTTCTTCACCACTCCCTATATTTTAGGTCAAGTTTTTAATTATTTTTTCTTTTTTTAGACACAACAAAAAGTTTATTTGTGTGTTCTACCATGAACACAAACCCTGAATTACTGAGTAAAAAGAATTTACTCCAGGGGAAGAGGTCACCAGGATGAAAGGTAGAAGAATCTTAAACATCAGCTAGACCAGATGTTGGTAAAGGCAGCCTACTGCTGTTCCTCTGTGATGTAGCGGCCTTTGTGTGCTGCACCTCCTCCAGAGTGTTTTTGGCTTAACAGATGTTTATAGGTTCAATATTTTAACATCCATCTATCTTAATCTCCTTGCTCCTGGTATACCCATGACACTCTGTTCGGCTGTTCACAAAGGAGTAAGTGATGAAACCTCAGTTTCTATGTAGTCAGTACAAAACTTGCAGTGACTCAGCAAGGCTTTTCACCATAAACCCTCTGCTCGAAAGACAGCTGCATGGAAGGCCCAGTGGGTTAACACAGGAAGTTCCTGCAATGGCCTATTGCTCCTTGGCATCACAATCACTCCGTAAGGGGCTTTGAGCTCATTTTACAGAAGTCACTATTCTACTGCAGCTGGCATGTATGAATATAACATTTATCTTGGAAGAAGCTGATACTGTACTGCTACTGAAGTCAGTCAACCCCACACATTCATATTCACAAAATATATTATATAAAAAAATATAAAACCGATGAAAATCAGGCAATCTTGACACACTTTTTAAGCAGTGACACAATCTTATTTTACTACTCATTTTGAAAACTAAAGCTAATATACTCTGTAGTGCAAAAATCCCATTTTCTGTGGAGCTTCCCAGCCTAAGTTCCTGGCAGACAAAAACACTGCTACGTCTGTAAGAAAACTGAAGTTAACACTCTCATTTTTCTTTTCTCTAAGAAACCTTGCTACAGTTGGTAATAGAATACATTTGCTATAAGCATAGCTCCTTTACAAAGTTGTATTTTAGAATTTAACACTGCTTCAATAAATGCTTTACATGGAGCACTATTTTCTCACAGTTTCATGAAAAGCATACAAAATAAGCAGTACTTGTTGCACACATAAAACATGAAAGAACTTTTCAAAGCATGCTTGCAGGCAGAAAGCTAGGTGTGATTTTACTCACTCTCTCAAATATTATTATAACATAATGATAAACCTATTTACAATGTCGGAGACAAATATATTGTGTCAATCCCACTAAACTTGACCCTTCTGCATTCTCTCAAATCAAAACCTTCCTCTGCCTTATGGACCATAGAAAAAAGAAAAAGATAAAATTAATAAAGATGGTATGTAGCTATCTGAAAATATATAAACCAGACCAAAAAGCTGTGCTGAATACTTAATGTCATCATATAGAGAAAAGGCAAATAACTTCAAATCCTCGATCAAAGTTCTTTTCATGCAAGTGCTGTAAGTGGTTGATAACTTAGTATTCTAGACATGAAGACAAAGTATCAAACAGAAGTCTTTGGTGACTTAATATCCTATCCCTAAATTGAAACAAAGACCCCCCAAAAGCAAGACAAACTTCTAAAATGTAGAATTTATTTGTCATTTATCCTGAAATTTTAGTAAAATCTACTGAATCGTTTAGTTGTATTTTTTTTTTCATCCAAATGCAGTTATCAGGAGCTGACTATTCCACAAAATGTCAAATAAATGAAGGTAATATAGAGGACTTTTTGCCAGTGCTTTAGCTAGTTGTTAGACTTCAGTAGCCTTTAGAGACCATTAAGTACCCTTTGGCTAATTGGCCAATGGTAGATTAATCCTCTTTTTATTCCAGCAGCACTATTTTAACACCCTTTGCACTCTGTCAGTGTAGTATCTGAATGACAAAATAATATTGTGCATGAATAATAAGCAGAAAAGTTAAATTAACATTTCATGTTTCACATGCCATACCTATGTGTCAGGGAAAAGAACCCTCTTTTAAAGCCACTGACATTCAACTTTTTTAAACAATCTCATGTTGACACCTTACTGAAGTGAATCTTCCTAATTACTGCTAATTGCCTATCAAGGAAATAAAAAAAATCTTTCCTTGAAGTGCAGTTGTCTAGTATAGATGAACACAGCTCCAAAGTGCATAGTAAAGACAGGCATGACACTTGAGGTGTGCTACATTATTATGAGGTCATACTAAATATGGTTTGCAGTGAACAAAGCAGCTTTTAAGGATGTTTAAGGTACTGAAAACGTCAATCTCTCGTGAAGTGTTTAAATTAGTTCCCCAAAGAGAAGCACAGGCATTAATCAGTAGATAAGAGGTACATTTCTCATCTCAGATATTTTACTAAAGAAAAACATTTG